AAGCTCCCAGCTCCCTCTGGTAGAGGACCCGAGCTCAGAGGATGAAAAAGAGACCACCCGCAGAGGGTGAGAAGGGAATTTTTTTTATATAAAAGTCGGGTCAAGTTGGGGGAGGTTTTCTGTCTGAACTGTGTACCGATCGCAGTTTTCTGGCCGATCGCCGATTACCAATCTTTAAAAAAAAAAAAAAAAAAAACCCTGACCTGCTGATTCTGATTTTGGCTGATACAAATTTTGCTTTGTTTTGTTTTTTTTGTCTGAAACATCGCTAAATATAGCAAGAAGGTTGCTGAGTCAGCAGCAGTGGGGTGACTGTTGTTAACCTGGTGGGCGAGGCAAAGAGTCACACCTCTCTCACAGCTGAGTTGCCAAGGTAGAAAAGATCAGCTTCACATTTGAGTACCGGCACGTCACAGATTCCCCAAAATGAAGGAAATTGGGGCCGATTCATCGGTGCACCCCTGGGAAATAAAACACTCCACCCCGTTCAAGGACCATGAAGACCTTCTTCCTGATTGTTGTGCTGTTGTTTAACAAGATTACATCGATTTAGTGAAACAGTAAGAGGCATATGAAGGTAGAGAAGTGTGTGTGGGGGGGAGAGGGGGATACTCTGAAATGTGCGATCACAGGACATGCTGGAAAAAACATGGCGAAGAAATGTATCATGGGAGACGTCATCAGCACCGGTGGAAGTCACGCAGCACTTCGGAGGTCAGTGCCAAGGCTGACGACACACTTAGAGATTCAGAGAGAGATCCTGGCTGTGAAAAAAAAAAACTCCATAACCGCACGACACACAAGTCTGTCTGCTTTAGACGTGATTTATTAATCCCTCGCTTTCCTCGTTTAAAACATGCAAACACAACGATACCGTCTTGTGAAACATTTGGCCTCAGGTGTGTGTGTGTGTGTGTGTGTGTGTGTTGCCTCTACTTTTTCCACTGTGATCCCAGCAGCTTTGTGTCTGTGTAAGTGTGTGTATGAGTGGTTGGCTGTTGTAGACATAATGGTCCTAATTTGTTTGACGTCTCCCTGCATTTGCCTCGTGGCTTTCCGTTCCGACTCGCAGGCTTCATCCTTCTTGAAAACAGTCAGCGTTCTGCCCTGATGTTTACTATGGGCCCACATGCTGAGGGAGGGGATCCTTGAAGAACGGCACACACAGCGATGTAGCTCCTGGTTTGGATACATTTTAGCTAGGTTAATTTGTGAATATGAAATTCCAACAACAAGTTAAATAAACAGGAATCAGATTAAGTAAAGAGGCTCCAGAAACATGAAGTTTACGTTCTCACACAGTACAACTACAAACTTTGATCCTTTCAGCCCTATCTGTTTATGTGACAGGGCCGGAACGATTAATCGACTGTTCAAATAATCGTCAACTGCTTCAGTAGTTGATTAATTGTTAGCAGGAGCATTCAGACAAAAAAAAAAAGAGCCATTTGCTGAAAGAGCAACATACTCTGAGCCAAAACTGCACAAAAGACACATACATTTTGCATTTAAAATTTTAAAATAATATGTACCGTATATTCTGGACTATAGAACGCACCTCACTATAGGCCCCACCTACAAAGTTAAAAAAATAAAATAAACTGGAAACGTTCATACGTCGGCTGCAGCGGGCTATAAGCCGCATGGTTCAAAGCGTGGGAAAAAAGTAGTGGCTTAGAGTTTGAAAAATACGGTAAATATGTTCGATCTAAAACTCCTCAAGTGACATAGTTTTAGATTCATATTGGTTCTAAATTTGCTAAGTAAATAAATAACATATTAAGCACCTTTTGCCATCCAGTTACTGATAATGCTAAACATCATCAACAGATCAGCCGAACACTGAATAGATGTTAAATCAAGGTGGAAGGGTTGAACTTTTCATATGTTGATGTTAGCAGCATTATTTAGCTTCCTTCTTTAGCATCCTTTGCTACAAACGATCAAGCGTTCACTATGGAACACTATGTTGTTCGATTTTATTCAATAAAAAGTTTATCATCTTATGCATATAAAAAAAGATTTAATTATTTGTGTATGCGCATTTTTATGCATTTCTAATCATGTATAAAAAGGTGTCAAATGAAAAATTAGCAGAATGTGCTGACATAATACCCAATTAATTGATTAATCGTTAGAACAATCAATAGATTAATCGATAAGTAAAACAATCGCTAGCTGTCACACAGGTGATGAGATCAGCACAAAGTAGTAGTAGGAAGGGGGATGAGCAGCGCCACACAGAGGGTGACTGACAGCGCTAAGACCCGCCTCCTGGCTCTGATTGGTTGTTTCTAGTTAGTGCTGGGAGAAGAGGGAGGAGCTCGATGTCTCACCATGTACCACACTGTCACACATAGCGACAGTTTTGACAAATATGTGAACGAATATTTTTCTATAAATGCTACATACTGCAGCTTTAAGGTGCATTTACTGTAGGTCATAATTACATAGGAAAAAGAGAGAAAAAAAAATGGATCAACCATGATCAATTCTGTTTTGGGTGTGCGATGTGTGTGAGGTGGACGGCTGACCAGGTTTTGTTTGAATTTCAAACCCAGATTAAGAAACCCTGCGCCCCGTCGTCCCTCCCCTCCACCTATTTATTTTTCCATCTCTCCTGCCTAAATGATGTCAATGGAAACAGTGCTATAATGCTATTTATAGACCTTCAATTCACACACACACGCACGCACACACACAAACGTGCATGGCCTGTGTTTGTTCTGCTTATTGCTCGTGCAGCCACACTTCCCTGAGAAGGAGGAAGGAGGTGGGTTGGGGGGGTGATGGGAGAGGTGGGGGCGGGGAGGAGAAGCCATTGAGAGGGACAGGAGCGACATGCGCCCCTGGGTTTTGCTTCTCCTCCTGCAGCCGCCGCTTTTCATTCACTCACCTCCAGCAGTCATTCATTCATCCTTTTCTTTCCCACCTCCCCGACTCACTCATTCACAGAGTTTCTGCAGCAGAACCTGTGAATGGAGAAAGAAGGAGGAGGAGGGGAGGAGGAGGAAGAGGAGGGGAAAAAACGGGTTAAAAAGCAAAGAAGCCACCAGTTCAGCAGCAATGGCCGCCGGTTCACCGTCGGTCGTCGTCTGTGTTCAATAGACCGCATTTGCGAATCAGCGATTTAGGCTGCACGTGGACGCGCATGTTAGTGCGCGCGTGAGATGGGGAAAGTGTTGCTGGGAAAGGGGGTAAATATTGTTTAACCTGGCAAATCTCGCGCGACAACACGACACAGTAGCCCTTGGGTGTTGGGGGGGGGGGGTTCGTCTGGATCTGGACTCTTTCCAAGAGTCGTCCTGTTGACACTCGCCTTCATTTCAGATTACATAAAGTGGAAAGCGGCTTCATGTGAGTCGTTTTAAAGGCTCCGTCCATTTTGCAAATGAAGCGCGCGCGGTTTTGCTGCACAAGCGTGTTTGGCTTGAAAAGGACTCGTGAGTGACAATTTTTTTTTTTAGACTACCTTCTATTTTCTAAAGGCGGCTGTGATAAAAATAAAGCAGTTCGCCCCCCACCCCTCCCATCCCTGAAACCCGTAACGCCCCTCCCAAACCGCTGCTAGTTAGACTCCAACCCGCCCTTCAGCAACACCATCGTGTGAAAATATCTGAGACGAAAACGGCAAGCGATACGGCTGTCATGTCAGTCACCTTAACGGAGTCTGTTAAGATGAACTCGGTCCACCAAAAATGTCCAGTTTATTCTTAAATATGTATGTCTCTGGTTTCTATTTTGGCTTCATCGGTATTTATTTTAGCTTCCCCTCAACCAGCCCAGTCCTTTTGTGCAACATCTCTCGTTTTATTATTGAACAAATCGGTTCGGAGTGCATTAGCTGCACGGAAGATTTTGGTATTTATAGCCAAACTCTGTACATCCACGGCGGTCACACGTGCAGCAGCCGCTTCCCTGCGCTCCAGCTCAAGTTGACATGTTAACACTCACTGGCTGCTATATTTAGCCCAGCCTCAGTGCTGTTACTATTCCCAGCATTGTACATGAGGGGGCGGACGGTAGGGGCTGTGTGTTTTTTTTTCCTCCTCTTCTTTCTAAAAAGGGGAGAAAAAGTTATCTTTTTTTTTTTTTTTTTTCCACAACTGATTCTATTTTTTGCGCGTACATTCCGACCTGCGATCCGCCACTGGCACCGAGTTAGTTCAGGGACGCTGCAGCTAGAGCTGTCACGATTCCGTGAAGAGGAAAAGCAGAAAGAGGCTGAGGCGAGCAGTGAATGGATGGAGGAACAGGCGAGCAGAAGATTATCCGCATAAAAGTAATAAAAGTAATAATAATAATAATAAATTATATATATATATATATCTCAGTGACGTGCGGTGAGGCACTGACTTATGACTTAGACACCATGCATATTATTGTACGGAAATTTCGCGCAAGCATACAACGCTGGAGGGCAAAAAGACTAATCATTTACATGTCATTCATAGCCGCGTTAACTCAGTGAAACTTAGAAATGTAGGTATTGATTTCGTGCTATGATCCACAGCAAAGTTATCTGTATTCGTTAAGCTACGCAGACTCGTTGCCATAGCAACTGACAACAATGCCACTTCATGTTTTAGGATTCAACACCAAAAAACATTCAAGAATTTTGCACACAGAACATTCAGTCGGTTGTTGTAGTATGTTTTAGGCTTAATGTTTAATAAATAAATAATGCTGTGGTAGATTAGCTACCGCTT